ACTTTACAGATCTTCTTTATGCACCAAGAGCTTGTAACACTCTAAAGAGAAAGGAAAAAATGAAATCGCATCATATGACCCCTTTAACACGTTAACTTAATTAATTAGTTATGAAATAATAAAGATATGAAATAAAAATAAGATTAAAATATTTTAATATTTAATTATATTTTGAAAATATTTATATTTATTTACATGCCTATATTTATATTCATATAATTTATATTTCTTTGAAGCTTCCTATGAAATAAAAAGAGAGAAAATACTGTCAAGTTCAACAGTATGATGAATAAATATTAACATAAAAACTAATACTTTAACCTGTTAACTTGCGGAGTAGTTGCACGCGCTGCATCTTCTTGTTTGACAGGTGTCAGCGTTAAGGCGCAATACTGCCACCTGGGAGGTCAAACAGGTACTGGCACTGGAGTATTTACATGTCGCGTTATCAATATCCTATTCATTTTAAATATTGTGGTTATCGTCAATACCGGTATATTGTGACATCTCTACCGTGAAAAAAGACTTTAAACCATAGTTTTTAAACCATAGTTTTTTCCATTTTTGGGTGGTAAATCTCATTAATACTACACCAAGAGCTGTTAACATTTCACTGCAATGTTTCCTGTACCAAAAGCTCATATGAGACCTACAAATTATGTGTCTGAATCAGTCTTAGAAATTCTTCAGCGAATTCACTGACTAAATTATCTGATTAAATTGTTTAATGTTTAATTTTTGTTTGCCTTGGTACAATAAACAATTTGTCATAAATTTGGTACTTTAATGAGCCACATCTGGGTCGTAAAGCAGAACTAATTGAGATCCACAGCTCTACAGAAGAAATGTTAATTTAATAATCAATATATTATACACTTTTATAATAGCATTAACCAGATTATCGATGCCTAAGTAAAATATTGCATCTCAGATTTTACATGATTTGGCCCGTGGTGTTGGAAAAATTGTGACAGCTTGTGTATGTACTACTGCTATCAATCGATTATAAAAAATTAACAAATTAATCGCACATTTTTCTGAAATTAGTTTAATTCCCACCTAACATTAAAGTTTTTAAATATACTTTTATATTGCAATTTCACATTCAATCTTCAAATTAATGTACAAACAACATAAAGACATATTATATTTTTAATATCTTGTTTAATGGCATCTTTTTTTTATCAATGATACCAATATCAATGGCCAGTATCAATGATACCGATACTGATGTCTCTATAAAATTGCCCCCCCCCCAGAACTTAAAACAATCTTCACCACATAAACCCATTATAATAAATGTCATATTTACCTGTGCCCTTCTGCAGAAATATACAGAAATTTAAATTGAAGTTATCAAAAACTAAATTCTAAATTAAATACAGATGAATTCTTGAAGCTATAAAAGTTATTTTTTCTTCTTTTTTTCTTCTTTGTCCTTTGATTAATAGACATCACAGCAGCTGGTTATTTTGGCTGTTATTTCTTTAAGAGCTGCCGCTGCTGAACGTGATGC